CTGTGATGTTTGTAGGAGGAATTATGGTGGCCGAGAAACTTGCAGAAAACGAGAGAACTCTATGTAAAGCCAGTGTTTGGTTTGTCCGTCCTGGGCTACAGTAGAAACATGGCGGACTCTATGAAAGGCAACTCACTGTGATTGGATGATGTATTCCAACCCGATTCGGCCGTGCTGTTCACTGGAAGCTCCCAGTCCAGCATGCTACAAGCACAACAATAGCTGCATGGCAGTGGGACATAAGGCACATTCAGCGTTAAAATATAGGGTGGTTTTAATTTTTATGTGATATAACATCAGAATCAGAATCAGAATCAGTTTTATTGCCAAGCAAGTTTTCACATATTAGGAATTTGCCTTGGTACGTTGGTTCGTAAGAATTATCATCATAAGACATTTGACAGATCTGCATACAGATCCATAAAATCCATTGGATCTTTCCGGATACAGGCCCTTTTTGTCCAGTGTATATCGTCTACCACGAGACGTCCCTCCCTAGCAGGAAACAAGCAAAGAGCACTCTGATTTAGCTACAACAGTAACTATAAAAACACCAAAGATATTATTTGTATTATTATTACGGTAGTTCATTTGATTTCAACCAATGCGTTTTAAGAAGAAAAAGTAAGCGGGACATTGAGGTGAAGTAATGACTTTGTTAACTTTTAATAAAAAGTTAACAAAGCTAACAGTTAATTGCACAAAGAGATAAGACAATCATAAGGAATGTAACATGATGAAATAGTGATTGCAGGCATTTTATGAATGATTTAAACACACATTTGTATCTATGACTATAACACTGATGAGCAGTAAAATGCTTCCACTGTCCTTTAATGTGGTTACAGTAATGTTTCCACTCACAGTCCCGCAGTTCATCGCCTCTGATGGAATGAGAGTGAGAAACACTTGTGCGCTCCTTGCCAGATGCCCTCTGCACCGACTTGGACCTGAGGTAAATATTTGCTGGGTGGGTTGCCGGATGACTCGGTCATACGCTGCCGCTGTCAGTTTGCACAGGGTTCAAAGATTAGTCAGCGCATGGCCAGTGTTTGCTTGTTACAGAGCAAGAGCGCCTGCTTCTGCTGCTTCTGCTGCTTCTGCTGCTGCTGCTGCTTTAACCTGTTCAGTCAGACTTTGTGATATAATAGTGGAGACAACATAAAACCTAATAACTACATGATATTTCTAAGTAATTCAGCGGAGGTTAATGCATCAGGCACATTAAATCAATGACATATGTCCTGAGTTGACCTTGTGTTGCTCAGTAGCTTGTCAAAGCACATCTGCTACTACAATAAGTGAAACACACACAGTGAATTATTTACCAGTATTATTTAAACCATGTGTGATCCACTGGTCAGAAACACAGAGAGAGAGAGAGAGAGAGAGAGAGAGAGAGAGAGAGAGAGCAGGATCAGCCAGGCGTTTTTATTTCATTAGCAAACAGTTGCTCAGTAGGTATCAAAGATATCAAGATATGGAGCCACATTATCATTCATTTGAAGTCGTGTCTTGGCCATGATGAATTTAAGTCCAATATTCACTCTCTCTCAGCTCTGTCTTTGGTCTCTATCAACTCCTGAGAGAAAGATCAGGCCCTTCAGCAGCAACCATGTTGCACTGCAACACTGCAATGAGTGCGGTAAGAGTGAATCACAACAGTGAAGTTGTGGACCCGACAGCAACACGATGAGCTGAAACTCACTATAAAGCTGCCAATAAGAATCATCATTTAATTTCATACCTGTGAAAATGATCTTTACCCAAATAGAGGCTCTCACTCATGAACATGGACAATATAAACGTATCTGTAGATAATTCAACAAGCCATGCTAGCGGCTCTGTGATGGTGTACTTAGGCACACCGGTACTTTGATATAAATGCTAATGCTAGAATGCCAATATGCTCTCGATGACATCGTAAACCAATGTGTTGCGGTTCCATTCAGGTCAAACAGAGTCAGGGTGCGGCTGTTGTTGGCTCTCTGGGAAGGCTCTGCTACACTAAATGGAATGGAGCCTTAATTAGTTTAATTTAGTAACACCTGTGTTTACCCTACTATTTCATGTCAAAAAGGCTGCTGTGAAAAAGATCTACTGGACAAGGAAAAGTTGAGGGTGTTACCTAAATTACTACTGTCCATCCTGAGGGGAGCAGGCATGTCTGGGCCAAACTTCACAGCAAACTATCTAATGGTATCTAATAGTTGTGTCAGAGGAATTCATCTACTGAGGACAATAAATCACTGTACAAACATTTGTGACAATCCACGATCCAATACTTGAAGAGGTATTTCAGTCTGAAACAAACCATGCTACTTTCAAGGTTAAATATTTAACATGAGGCAAGGCCATAAGTATAACTCATCATATTGGATTCCATCGCAGTGTGTACTGTATTTTAACTATTTCTGAGTCCTGCTTCCTGTAAAAACTCAGCAGTCGTCTGTGCTACATGGCAGCGTGCACAGCCATTGATTTCCTTTACCTCACTGGGGAGTAAAAGTTGGGTGATTAATGCACGTCTAAACTATGTTTCACTGCGTAGGATGCACCTTGTGAGGAATGAACAATACTTCATGTCCCAAGTTTGGAAAGACCCTGATAAACTTCTTAGAGTTAATATATCAAGAGTGTATTGTATTTTATTCAAGCTAACAACAAATTCTTTAATGCTACAGAGGCTGAGCCTCCTGAGCAAAGTGATCCACTGCCCAGAGTTCATCAGAAGTTCACTCATATCATGCAGAGTTCATTTTGGTAGGATATATAACAATGTTCAGTTGGTTTTGGCTCCATTTCCCAAAACAGTGAGCTACTAAAACTGACAAAGCAAATTAAGTCTCAGAAATAACAACAAAACAGATAAAAGGCTGCAATTTTTCTCTAATGCCACAGTGGTTGTAACTCATAATAATCTCAACCTGCCATTAACGTCTTCTCTTGTGGGTCAAACTCATGGACCGGCAACCTTTCTCCCTCTGTGGCTCCAAATGCAGCTATCTGTGGGAAGATGGGACATAAATGACACACCTTCATTTTAAATATGGAATAATAGAAAATAAACGTAGTAAAGGAGAATAAAAGGTCCGAAAAGTGAAACATCGTTATGTTTGAATGCAGCTGCTCAAACTGCCACTAATCAAGTGCTACGTTTCCACTGACTTTTCACATCTCTGACCTTTACTCTGATCCATCTTAGCCTCTACACCTGTTGCCAAGTTACAGATGGCTCAGAGGCTGTCAGCACCTCGGCACATATTTCATTAGATCTTGCTGTCCTCCTTGCACTCTCCTCTGGCTCCATACATCACGGAAAGACTCCTCATTTTGGCTATATGATTGTGGGACTCTCTCCCAGTGGGTCGGGATCATCGCCGTTGCCCGCCACCTGCACACGCACATATCTTCGGAGAGAGCTCCCTGTGAAACTGGCTCTGACTAGTGCAGCCAAATCATTATTTTGGTCCATAAACAACCTTAGAAACCACAGAGTGGAAGTCTAGACACTGTAACAGCCTTGTGCAAATATTTAATGTTTCTTGTGTCTAGTTTTCCACTGGCCAAACATGAATTGTTCTTTTTCTCTCAACCAAAATTAATGATACAAATCTTGTATCTTACAGATTGACTTTCAAACAGCAGAGCCAGAGCTGCGTGATTAAACTCACTGTCAGCTTCACCTTTTCCACAAAATGTTTTCATGGAACAGTTTGAGTCCGAGTTGCTCATCCTTCTCTGTGAATAAGGAAACCATTTATTCCCTGTAATGTCAGTTTTGGCTTCAACGCGCCATATTTGTAGCTTACTTGGCTTCTACGTGAAGATGCAGGTTTGTGAGAAATGAGTCTACACCAGAGAGTATGAAAACTGACATTTTATTAAAAAGTAAAATTAGACATCAGTCTGTGGTCACGGCTAACCCGTGTTCCTCCCTGTTCATTGTCTTATCACACAGTTTACAGATGGCAGTGACGTCTGTCCTGCAATGGGGATGCTCATCAACTCAACACAAATAAAACAGGGAGAACTACGGTCTTCGTCCATAGCCTTTATTGGAAATTCTTTACATGTGAATCCTCCGAAACCTGCCCAAACCCAGCTTTAGAGACTATAAATATATATATAAAAAAGGAAATGTAAAAGACTTTTGCAGTTCCTCCAAGAACAAAGAAAACATTTACAGTCAGGTCTCAACTTGAGAAGGGCAGTCACCTTTTTGTTTGTTCGTTGAAATGCCAAACAGTTATAACAGTCATTTTTAAACTACTGTTAATCATGTCAGGAAAGCCGAATTAAAACAAAAAATAATAGAAAGGGGAAAAACAATCAGTGGCCAAATGAAATCAGTAAAGTCTTGATGATAACAGCACTAGAGAAACACAGGAGCACAGCACAGCACAGCACAGAAAGAAAAGGGAAAACCAACCACTGCCTCATCAGTATATACTGTATATACTGTATATACTGTATACACACACACACACACACGTCTGGTTACCTCGCCACAAACTGCAGGAACTTCTGCACAGTCGAAAGGTTCTTTGTGTGGGTGTTGTGACTGACACTTAAGTCAATTTTCCTGCCTGATGTGTACAAGTTATTACAAAACAAGCTGAAGAGCCAAAATACAACAGTGAGCTCCCCCCCCCCCGCCCCGTCCCGTCCCATCCTTTCATGACCAGTGAGCGCACACAGCAGCTGGAGTCAGGTGTAACACCGGTCCAGCTGACAACTTTGTCACTGAATTGTTTGTAAAACTGCTGAAACAAAAAGTATTCAAAGTGCAGGAGTAGAGCACCACCTGGTGTCCGAACCAGGACAAGCAGGGAAACTTCACTTGCACCCCGAGGAGCGGTTTCACCCACGTTCGAGGGGCTTTTAGGCGTTGTTAACAAAATGTACAAGTGACTAATTCAACTATTACTGCTGTGGAAAACTAAAAAAAAAAACTAAAAACTCTGACATGTTCTTTGAATAGACTAGGAGAGCCCTGCTTAAACCTTCGCAATTTATTGGATGTGATTAAGATCAACTAACAAGTTATCATTTACAATACCAAATAAAATGTGCAAAAAATATCAAATATTCAAAAATGCCCATTTTCTTTAACAAACATCACATTTGTTGTTTTAAACACTGTTTACAAATGTTTATGCACATAATTTCAATAAAGTATGGTCCTGCAGCTGCTGGCATAATAGGTGCACTTTACACAGGAGGAGTGCAAACTGACGGAGCATTGAGGTACCTGTTCTTTTAAAGTGGCAGGGCACTACAGAGGAGGAAAGGCTGGTCAGCTCTACAGGCCAAGAATGAGACTCCCAAGTCGGGTCCCCTTATTTTTGAAAAACGTCTTGGCACCAGGAGCTGAGATGAAAGTCTCTTAGCACTCAAAGTGATGTGATGTGTGATCTGCGAAAACCTCCACCCAGTTTTTTTTGACAATAAATCTGAAGATGGGCTTGGAAACAAAAGAAAATTTTACTACAGCTATTAAAATCCTATCGTGTTTATCTATAGACTCGCATTTGACCAGAGATAATCTTGGCGTCGAGATGCTTAGAAGTAAGAGATTTAACAGGTGACAGGAATAATTCATGTCAGCAAGTTTGTAAGCGAAGACAGGCTTCCTAGAGGTTTTAAGCTACATGGACACCATCTCCTTAACAAGAAGTACTTTAAGTCAGAGGAAACACAATGACTTGAGAGACAGAGATGTGATTGGGACAAACATTTTACAGCTAGATTTACTCATCCTGAAACACGGCAGTAAAGTGACGGCTTGGCTCATGTGTCGCGAGTGACGACAAGCCTCTGATTACACTGTACTGGTGTTTGTGGAGCGCAAATGTAGAAACAAAGCAGTTCACAGGACAACATTTTGACTTGAATTACACTTGTGTATGTGTGTGAGAGGTTGTCAACTTGGAACTGAAATTCAAAAGTCTTAAGAGCTATGAGGATCCCTCCATTATCTCAATTTTTCTTGGTTGAAAAAAAAAAAGCATCACCAATATTAAACATGTTACAAATATAAATCAGTTTTCTTTTCGTTTTTCAAAATATGAACAGAAATTTAATAACACAAAAAAGTCCTTCTGAGGATTAAGTCCCGCTGGCTGTAGGAGGAGGAGACGGAGGGCTCTTCATCATTTGTAGAAGAGCGGGACAGAAATTTAAAGCAAAAAAAGAGACGCCAAAAAAAAAAAAAAAAAAAAGAAAGAGCACCCTGGACTTCATGAGCGTTTTTGTCTCTTGGAATGTCGCTGCTGGTTGGACCGGTCCTCGTCGCTGCTCGCACCCCCGGCATCGCCCCGGCCCCCCCGCTGACGAGTTCTCCGTGTGTCCCGCTCGCCATCGCTATCCTGCTCCCTGTAATCCTTCTTGCTTGAGGTGGCAGAGGTCCGCTTACTTCTCCTCCTGCCATCATCATCATCCTCCTCCTCCTCCTCCTCCTCCTCACTCTCGCTCTCCTCATCCCTCCGCCCCCGACCGTTTCTGACTCTCTTCCTATTTGATTTGCCATTCTGCATCTTCTTCTTCGGTACTTCTTCCTCTTCCTGATCTTCATCCTCCTCCTCTTCCTCATCTTCTTCCCCCTCCTCCTCCGATGTTGCCGGGGCTTGGCTGACGCGTTTCCGTGAGCGCCGTCGGAGGTAGCTGAGGCCAGGCAGCAGCTTTTGGAGCAGCTCGGTAAATGTCTGCTCCGTTTTGACCATGCAGGAGAGCACGGTGCTGCCCTGCTGGTTGTACTCCTCTGCGTTGGAGAAGACCAGTTTCAAGTCTTCCAGGAAGTCCTGGGCGTGGCGATACGAGCCCTGGCTGAACTTTCCGAGCATCGTCTGGAAATCCATGGGCTGGGAGATGATGTCCAGGTAGTCCTCTGCCTCCTCCGGGGAAACAGGCTCTCTGTCACAGGAGGAGCATGAGATAAGGGCCGCGTTAGACTGCAGAGTTTAATTCAGTATCTCTTAACCTCTCTGTGACTCTTCGTAAGGATATTGTAATTTGAATATATTTAATTTGGGTTTTTGAGTGTCACAGAAGCTCTGGCTTTGGTAAATACAGCTAGTGTGAAAACTGTGGAGAGGTGAGGCAACTTAACTGCCTTGAATAGAAAGTTAACATGTGAGCCAGTGTCAGATAATCTAAATATAGTCACAGTCAACTGCAGCTGAAGAGCCAAAGACATGGCAGTTACCTTACACACTACTGGTTTCCACAGTGGTACAGACAAAGCACTAAGCACAGCAAGCTTACAGTTGACATAAGCTGCTCTAAACATTGTATGGTGGCTGATGCTGCTCCAGAGTACTTAATAAAACTGACTGTACATTCAAAATATACAGATTATGTTCTTAGCTCACCTGAACGGCCAGCTGTAGCGGAACTTTATCAGTTTCTTGAGGATCTCCTCACACCTCTCAAGCTCCAGCGCCTGCCTGCGCACTCCTGACTGGGAACTCTGTCGCACCTGCAGAAACATTGAGTTTATTCTGTGCTCTCAATGAACAGTTTCATCACAAATGTCTACAAGTTTCTGAAACATAGATGAACGCCTGCACTTTAAGTGTGTTGTTTAATTATTCTCAGAAGCAAGATGTATCTTCTGTAAGTGTGAGTCTCCCGGTGGTTTCTTACCAGTTCATCAATGTCTGCAGGGCTGTTGGGGCCAGTCCTCGGTTTGCTGCTCTGACTACTTGACGACGACGGCTTCTTGGATTTACTTTTTGAACTTTTCTGCCGGGATGAGGACTGCTTGTTTTTCTTCCTTGGTCTCACTGTAGAGAAATAATGAGAGATGATCAGAGGAAAATGGAAAAAGCACTTTTGTACTAAAAAAAAAAAAAAAAAAAAAGGGTACAGGAAATTTAGCTATGTAACCAAAATGTATTTCTGTTTATTTTTCATGTCACTCAACTTGCAGAAAGTAATATTTAATCAATTATTCCTGACAAGTGCTATGTGCACCGTGAGAGCAGTTAAATTCCAATTCTGCTTATGATATTAAGATTCATGCTTAACTGTCCATTGTATTGTTTTAATTTGTACCAAACCCAGACCCAGACTAGAAAGTAGAAAAATAATCAGTGCATTGCAGTTATCTCCGGAACTATTCAGCACTGATGCATATAACTTTCTTAATCGTTGAGCTGCAGGCTTGAACTGACAGAGGGGATCATCCTGCCACATACTCTGAGTGAAGCCAGAGTGAAACATGGCTTCAAAGCAAAAGGTCCAGACCTGAGCTGCGCTACATGACAACACACAGACAATAGAGACAGGGGCTGGAATTCCCCGTCAGCATTCCTCTCATTCCCAACCTTCGGTATCAAGGACGCTCCATTTTCCAAAACCAACCCAGGTGTTCAATGATTACCAAATCCAAAAAAGATAAAGATAAAGATCTCCTTTTGTTGAGCAATAGTTTTTAAATAAAATGTAATGACACAAGGATTCCAGTTTTGAGTTGGTACATATAAAAACCTGGATAGACGACCACTTTTATACACAACCACATTTATAACCATCCGTTTACTGATGTGTGACAGGAGCACACAAAGTATCCTGGTTAAAACCCTCTGGGTGAACAGTCTAAGAGCCGAGACAATTTAGCAAAACCTGGACTTCATTTTCTTTCTCTGATACTCACAGCTGTGGCCCATGGCTTTATAGTCATTCTCTTCCTCATCCTCTTCATCTTCCTCAGAGTCCTCCTCTTCAGACTCCTCCTCATCCTCTTCTTCATCTGTGTCTTGGTTGTAGTTCCTGCAATGACGAGGTTAACAATCAGAATTGATAAAGGCAGAACACCACTGCTTCGCTATTTTCCTTCAGTGTAAATGTTGGGGCTGGGGATATGCATGGTGAGGGGGGGGGGGAATAAGTACCGCTTTGGAAGTTTGAAACCAGTAGAAAAATCAGTAATCTACAAGACATTTAACATAAAAAGCAGGATAATTTATGTCTACACTGATTTTTAAAGTGCAATATGCAAATCGCAGAAGCTGCAATTTCTTAATGAAAAAGGTCAAAAGTACTGTAGTGCTGCAGAGATGCACTGGCCTACAAATCTTGTTCTCCTGATGTAAGGAAACATGTTTGGTACAGAACCCAAAAATAATTCCAACTAATCGTGAATCATATTACAATCGTAATAGCTGTCAAAATAAATTGCAATAGGATTGTATTTTTACCATACTGACGGCCCTATTGTGTGCTCACAGATTGTCAACCTCTAAGTAAGGACACATGAACTCTATAGTTACCCAGATGTAACAGTTTATATGGACAACGGAGGAAATACAGTGTGAGGTGGACAGTTACCTTGAGCGGGAGCCTCGTCTGGCCACAGTGGGCTGGCAGGCCGGGCAAAGCCACTCTCCAGCTGGAATGCGGTAAAGTGCCGGTCGCAGGCAGAACAAGTGGAAGGCCTTGTTGCACTCATCGCAGAGGATGAGTTTCTCATCGTCACCTGGAAGAGATCAGCACACATCATAAAACTGAGCTATGTTTAAATCTATTCCATGGTTTTACCTAAAATGTATTCAGTATGCCCTCATTTTGTTCTTCCTGTTTCACTTTTTTTTGTCTTCATTATCTGAAAAGGTCAACAAACGTCTTGCATGTTTTCCTTGTGCATCTGTTTATTGTCATCTTATCACTACAGGTTCACCTGTTGCCCTGCGGAGCTGCCGGTTCTGTATGTAGACCTGCCTGACACTAGTCTGTTCTGTCCTGAGCCTGCCGCTGCTGCCCTGCCCTGTGGATTTGGGCTTAGACTCCTTCAACTTCAGCACAGATGGGCTCTGCCTGAGCTCTAGACAGGGAGCAGGAGAGCATTGGGTAGTAGTGTAGCACTGCTCCACTCTAACTGCAACTCAAAATTATGAGTTACATGTAGTAAGGACTGAGTGTTTACTGAGAAAGATCTATAAAGGCAGAATGATCTAATTGGCTACAAATACTTTGTCTAGGGGTGCACGATAATTATCGGACCGATAACAGGAAATTGTTACGTCATTCCGATAAGTTCGATATCATGACGAATAGCCCCGATAACATATATAAATTTGTCAGCACGGCAGTGCCCCGCTCCCACTGTGAGACCTGAATGGGCTGCAGTGAATGCTGCGTTCAAGTGACGTTGGCATAATCAGAAAAACTCTTTCTGACTGGGAAAATTCAAGAATACCCCCTCATGTCGCAAAAGTCCTCGTTAACTCGGTCATAATTTTGGTAGTTGCTGACTTGAATTGATATCCACAGTGTTTTTCCCACACGTTACACAGAAACAATAGAAACATGAACTTAAAAAGGCCGAAAGAACGACTAGCAAACGTGGGAACAGGGAATTTCTGTCACACCATGAATGCAGCACAGCGTGCTTATGTTTGAAAGCAGACATGGCGTCGATTGTGTGGGACTTTTTCAAAGTTTCTGAAGAAGGCGGGTCGCTTGTTATTTGTAACAAATGTTCCAAGCAAGTTCCACAAGGAGGTAAAAGTAGCACGAGCTTCAATAGGAATGCACTTTTTCAGATTGCGTTTAAATAGAAATGTTTGAATCTAACTTGTGTCAGTGCATCAATTTTTTATTTTTATATATATATATATATATATATATATATATATATAATATATATATAAATATATATATATTTTTTTGGGGGTTTTTTTTTTTTTTTTTAAACTACTTCTGGAATACACTTTTTCAGTTTGTAATCCCGATTCATGTATTTGCATTAGTTCAAGGGTCTTTGGTTTTTTTTTGAGAGGCTTGCCAATAGTCTTTCATTGGAGAAAATAAATATCTCCATTTAAAGAGTCAAAAGTGTTTTTGGGTTTGTTCATAGTATTAATGTCATGATCATATATGTATATGTGTTAAGAAGCTGAAAGTCATCGGTTTAAAAAAAAAAAATTCTTTTCTGTGAGACAGCAGTTGAAGACCATCTTTACCTTTCCTGCGACAGACTTTGCAGCGAGCGTTCTCAGCAGACATGTCCCACTTTATGCAGGCGTCCAACATACCCAGCAGGACATGCATTCGGGAAAAGGTCTGGGCCTCTCGAATAGCAGTCTTCCACTTCTCTACCGCTGTCGCTACCTAAGAGGAAAGAGCACAGACTTCTTTAAACTCAGCAAAACTTTACACAAAGAAGTGGTAGCTCCATCTATATTAATGTGTTATGTGTCAGTGTGTTTCATGGACAGATTTCATTTTGCTTCTTCATGTTCATGAACATGGCAGTTTTGTTCTCCTACCCTTGCCTCTTCCGCCAGCCTCTTCTCCTCGTCCACCTCTTCGGCCTTGCTGCTTTCTTCCCCTCCGTGCTTTTTCTTCTTCTTCTGCTTGGGGGCCATGAATCCCTGCAGGAACTTTTTAATTACACATGCCTGAATGGTGATGATGCACTCGCCAAAGTCTTTCAAGCTCTCCGTGTCTTTCAACTGCGAGAAGAGGATGAAACATTTAAACAGTTATAAAGTGCAATTAAATGCAGACATGCATACTTCACGGTTTAATAATAAAACATCTGCTTACACAAGAGTGACAATATAATCAAACAGGTGCTTAAATTCATCCTTAAATGTAAGTTTCATTCCTACAGCCTGACAAGAGTGAATATTTTAGGTGTTGAAAGAAGGTTGCACATGATCACTCAACCCGAAAGGGAGAGATCTTATCCATTCCTTCAGTGTTGAACTTTCAAGGCTACTAATATTGTATGTAGTCAGACAAACTAATCACCTCATCTTTGAGGTCTTTGTCGTCATCCAGGTATCCAAGGCCTCCTTTATGGAGTCGTGAGGCGACCTCCTGGATGTCACTGCGCAGGTAGTTGAGTAGCTCTAAATGGCCATCACAGGTCCTGAGGCCCATTCTGGCCTTACGGGTCAGATGGATGGAGTGGAGGATGTCTTGGTATCTGAAACAGGAAATGGGACAGCTTTGTGTTCAGCTTCATATTACTCTTTTTTAACAACATTGTCCATACTTTTTCTAAACTTTTCCATAGCCTAAAAGTTTGCTACTGCTGGTTTGCTTTCGTGTTTGTTAAAGTAAGTATCTCTTATAATGAGTGCACGCACCTGCTTTGTATCTTCGCCCTCAGTTCACTCTCTCGAACACCCTGAGGATGAAGACTTTCTACCAGTTCGTCCAGCTCAGCTGGGTTGTCACATATGAACCTGTGTTGAGAGGCATAAAAATATGAATAAACGATTGTGTAAAAAGAAAAATTAAAGAGAATATAGAGACAAAAAAAAATAAAGACAAAATCAAAGCTCTTACCAAAGGTTCTGTCCCTGCTTGGGAACAGTAGTTTCTATACAGACGTCTGCTACTGCTCCCTGCTGGGCTCCCTCACTAATAGCACCATCTATGCTGCCATCATCCTTTTCAGCTCCTACAACATAAATGGTTAATTAGTTAAATAAAGTAAAAAAATTATGACTAAACAAAACAAGACATTCATTTGAAGAAGGGTTGTAGAGGATTGCTGGCATCAACTTCAAAAGGGATGAGATTTCAGCCAATATCAACTTTTTAAATATTTTAACACAACACACAACATATTGATCAGGATAACTTTAGGTACCTTGTGAATCATGAGTAGTGGTGGACACACCATCCTCTTCCTCTTCTACCTCAGGCTCAGCAGGTTTTTCCTCAGGTGGAGGAGTGAAGCTGTAGTCGATGCCCTCGTGCACCCAGCCTTTCTCAATGTAAAGACCAGGAACCACATCAGAGAAAAGCCAGTATCTGAAGAAAAAACAGAGCAAACCATGGTTATAAGAGAATATTTTAGATTTATATACACACATTTGTGCTTCTTTCTTCTTTCTTTCTTTCAACATGTCTGTGCAGTCCTGACCTGTTGTGATTTCTGTCGGTACCCAGTGGGGTTCTACGCATGACAAGTCTGGCTTTGGTTATACCATCCTGAAAGGCCCTTTCTGCAGCAGCCCTCTGTTTACGCATCCGCTCCTCTTCAGCCTCCTTCTCCATGCGCTCTAAGGGGAAAATTACAGTAACAAATAAGTACTGAGAGAACAACATCAAAACTGATGTATCACACAATGGCACTGCATATGTGCACTGAAGCTTGTCATTTAACCATCATATATCTGTTTAAAAAAAGCAAATTTTGAGGAGTCATCTGCTCCACTTGCTGCTACAAAAATTACCTTTGTTCTGTCTGTCCAGCTCTTCCTTCTCCTTCTTTGCCTGCATGGCCATAAGCCGCCGGCTCTTCACTGAGCTGATCATGTCCTCTGGCTCCGGCTCTGGTTCCACCTTTACTTCTTTTTTGATCTCCTTCTTAGCGCCGCCCTCTTTTTTTTTCTCACCTTTGAGCCCAGGAAAAAAAATTTAAAATGATTGGCATCAGCTTGTATCTACATTTTGGGGATGTTAATAAAAGTGTAATGACTCAAGATATTTCTATAATCTGAACATAGATAGATATAGATAGAGCTCTGTGGAAATCCCCGCCTACCTTTAACCTCCATCTCCTTTCGCATCTTCCTCTCAGCCTTCTTGCGGTCATTGACCTCTTTCAACATTGCCAGGCGCTCCTTCCACAACTCAGCTGACCGTTGCTGCCTTGCATCAACGTGGTCTTCAACGGAGTACGTCATGAGTATGCGGTGGCACAGTGCCACAAGCAGGTTGACCTTCTCCTCAGGACTCAGCTCGAACACCTCCATTGTGTCAAGCTTATCCAAGAACTCGCTGGTCACCACATCATCAAAGCCCCCCAAACCTCCGGAGTCCTCTGAGTCCTGGCCGCTCTCCTCACCATGAGCGTCACATGGTCGCAGGCACAACCGTGCCAGCTCCGACACCGAGTGCATGGTAAGCGGGATCTCGGATAGTGGCATGTCGAGCTCACTGTATCCTTCTGCCAGCTCATCTTGCAGTAGCGTCTGAAGCAACACCACCAGCACACGGTTCAGGTAGTGGAAACCGGACCGTTCTCCGGCCAGCGCTTCCATCAGAGCCGCTGCTGTGATGGGATACTGGTCGTCCGGCATCAACAGGCCTGCGTAGCACTGAAGAAAGTCCACGACCATAGCCACGTCACCAAACAGGGTGTTGGGCAACCCCTCTGGCATGTCTACAAGCTTGAACGTGGGCAGGCTCTTGTCGCCTTCTATCTCCTGGTCCTCGTATCTGCGTGACTGTTCGCGGCGGACAAGCATCTCCTTCTCACGTCTCTCCTTGGCCTTTTCTCGCAGTTTCTCTTTGAGTTCCTCACGCCTTTTCTTCATCTCTTCCTGCTTTTCTTCTTCACTCATGGCTGCCCATCGCTTCTTTTGCTCCAGTAGCTCCCAACGTTTCTGCACCAGCTCTTTGAGCTCCTCCGGCAACCTGCCCCGCTCGTCTGGGGACAGGGTCTTTGCAGCCTTGGAGATGAGAGAGGAAAGGGAGTTCTTTTTGTCCTCTTTGCCCTTGTTCTCCTTATAGTAACGAAGGAGATGGAGAGCCATAGGGTGCAGTGGCTTCCCCAGTTTAGGCGTACCCATGCCAGTACTACGGGCTCTCTTCTTGGGGCTCCCAGCCGGGGTGCTCTTAGCCAGATGCAGCAGAGTCATCTGCTTCATCTTAGGTGTCTTAGGACCAGCTTTACCGTCCTTTTTAGAAGCTTTGAGGATGTTGAGCTTCTTGTCACTGCTCTTTCCACTTTTCTTTCCTTCTTTCTTGTCCCCAGACTTTCTGCCTGATTTTGGAGTGGAGGGAGCCGAGCCTTTGCCATCACCTTTCTTTGGGGTTCCCGAGTTCTTTACCTTGAGTGGGGAGCCGTTTATTTTTATTTTCTGAAATACAGACAACACAAGACGATTAAGCAAAGCTTTGACTTTTAAGATATATACACACCACAACATTCAAATAAGATCTTAGACATGATGGTGTGCATACAAGCCAGCTAACCTGCATGTGGCCCCAGATGGTCGGACTAAGGGGCATGCCCAAAGAGTCTTTTTTCTTTTTCCTTTTCTTCTCTCCCTTCTCATTTCCTGAATCCTCATCTGGTGTTTCAGATGCCTTCAGCTTCTTGCTAGGTTTACCCTCTGGTGATGACAAGCTCTTACGCTTTGCCGAGGGATTCTCTGCTAAAAACTTTAGGCAAACAGAGTGTGAGCAAAGAACAAACTACTTTCTTTTAAATCAAGTAAAGTGCAAAAACATACCATGAGTAAATTACCTTGTGTGGATCAAGAAGAAAGTCACTGAATTTGCTGGGCAGGTTAAATTTTTTCACCAGTTCATCTTCAACCACCCAGGGAGCACTCTCTCCCATTCCCAGCCTCAGAGCATAGTGCCGGATGAAATAGCGCATGATCTCCTTGGTTGGAGGGCGCTCTGTTCTGAAGAGACTGTCTGCTGGGACATCACTGATTACCTATGAGAGAAATCAGTGGGCAAGACCAAGTGTCAAAAGTCTGTGTAGACCTCAAAAGATCATGAACCAGGTTGGTTATGGACATGGCTGACAAAAAAAATTACAGAAGAGTGATATACTGTCATTGTTTTCAAAACAAGACTAATCATTATCTGGGACCAGGAAGGAAAAATAGTTTATACACTTTTTGTTGACTGCTGACAACAGGATACACACCTTATCCTCATTGATGAGCTTCACGTCATATTTGTGAGGAAGGAATTTGGGCATCACCCATTTTTTCTTCTCTTCCTTCATGGCAGTGGGAAGTTTCCTTGGTGAACGTCGTGCCCTGTCACCTGATAGTAAGAAAACAATATAATGCAAAAAACAGAAAAAAGTGGTTAAAACTGAAAGATTAAATGTTTTTACTTTCTACCTATTTCACTAAACAAAAACCAACTATTCTGGTCCTGCTTTTATCAAACAATACAACCACCTGTCCTGCGGCTAGAAATTGATTGATCATTCTACAACATGTGTGGTTTTATCCATTCAAAAATTCTGTTTGTTTAAGCACTGATTGGTACTCACTGAGACTCTCTCTCCTGTTCTCCTCCTCTCGGGGAGGAGGTTCCTTCCTCTGGTTCTCCTGACTTGCATTCTCCTTGTCGCTGGATGGAGAGTCACAGGCACCTTCAAGCTTCTTCTCCGCTGTCTCGCCCTCTGGGTTTTCCAGGGGATGGATCTTTACCACCTTCACTTGCAAAGTTTTGTCCTTCCCAACCTGAAGTGAAAAGTCCACATCAAGAAGAAGCTTTCAATTAAACACCTGCTTACTGCTGCACTACCACTGAGGATGGGTATCAGTTAGATTTTACATTAATGTGACGTCATCAGCCAAACCTTACTGCATTAAAATCACCTGTGGAGTGATCACAATTTTTAATAACCAAAGTTCTGCCAAAGCAGAATAATATGGCTGAACAATAAAAAAAACTAATATTGTGATTATTTTGAAATAAATCATAATAACCATGGGAATCACGATTAGTGGGATTAATCATTTTTGTATAGCAATTTTCATTATTACAAAAAAAAAAAAAGATTAAAATCCTGATGTGACACTTGTTGGCGTCTCCACACAACAAATGTTTTTTTTACATCAGGAAAACAAGATTTGTAGGAAAGGGCATCTCTGTGACACTAAAGCACTTCATTATAATGCTGTTTGTCACACATTTTTCTTTTATTAAAATATTTCAGCCCTACCAAATATTAATCTAAAAAGTGTAATATGCTTTAGTAAACAGTGAGCAATAATTTTACATATAGCTAATGTATTGTTAAAACTACAAAAACATTTTTACGGTCATCTAATGTGTCATCTTGTGTGTAACACAAGGAATAAAAAACACAGGAGTCGCTGCCTATGATCCAAATTTTACATAACCAGGATTATACATTTAAGGAGTAAAACTGACCAGGAAGTCGCATTCTTCATCCACAGCATACTTGGTGAGGATTTCCACCCAGGCCATTTCAACCAGTTTGTCTAAAGACACTGTGTTGTGGTGGACCATCTCCAGAACCGGTTTCTCAAACCACTGTGGATACTCTTCCTGAAGCCTGCACACAGAAAGTGGTTAGTCCAAATAAAAGTACAATATAGTTTGCATCTTGCATTTCCATCATGTTTTCATACTTTTATACAATGTAAAATGAGACACTGTTATCACATCAGACATAAATTAAATTTAATCATGGGTGTGATCTATTCTCTTCATGACATAAGGTCTGTCACATTGTTTGGATTTCTTTCATCACAGGGACAAGAACGTTGAATAACAGCATAACAAAGGGCGGAGAGTGACCAGTAGGGGGAGTAAAATCTCTCAGTGGATATGATTAGACAAGAGCTTAAATACAGCTTGTGATCCTAAGTGACTTGAGCTCTGGGCAGCTGAGCACTGCTCTGTGCTGTGACATCTCTTTGGGCCACCTTGCTCTTGCTGACAGCACATGTACATTATAGAATACATACACCTTTTTGGTGTTAAGTGGACTGAAAGAGATCAGTTAAACTATTCTTAAAAAATGATTCCACCCTTTCCTTTTGCAGATCAGGATATGGGAACTCTCCCCAGACCATTGCAGATTCAAGGATGACTCAATCACACACACCCTCTAAATAGAATAAGAGGAGGAGCACTAGATTTATCCAATCATAGCAAAGCAGCGGGCCTTGTGACCTTCACTGGGAGAGTATAGCCCTTTCCTGATACTACAGAGCTTCTGATAATCTGTATTTCTGTACATCTAATGATACACACACACAGCCTATACAAAATCTATATAGGAGGTGGACTGTAGTCAGCAAAGAAGACCCTTAATTCACTAGTTGGATGGAGTCGTGAACACACACACACACACACACACACACACACACAGGATGAAATACTCACAGTTCAGTGACTTCTTGTTCCTCCTCCCATGCTTCCTTGTGTGTGAGCTGGCTGCTTCCAGTGCTCTTGCATGTCCAGATGCGCTCATTATACCGCTGTACACGAGCCTCATACTCTCTGGAAACATGTTGTCAAGGAAATTACAATAGTCGCATGTAAACTGTTCCTCCTCATTTAACCATTTGCTTGCTAATTACTAGCAAGACATACGTGGTCCATTGTTGACACATTAGTGTAACTGGTGTCAGTAATAGGTTGAGGTTGAAAGCCAGAACGCACATATAATCTCATAATAAAAATCTAAATGTACATAAAGTGTACAAAGGGTTTAAATAATGTAAACCTGGGGGAAAAGTTAGGGGGCTGCTGGGAAAGAATAATGATGGTGAGGAAAGCTGGAAAAACAGTTGTGGCTCACTAAGATGAACCGGAGCCCAGTGGGAAAAGTAAAACACACTTCTGGAGTAAAAAGTTTCCTCTCCCTGATTGTAAAAACCACAGCAGTAAAGTGAACGACATTTACAAATCGTCTGCGTTGGACGGGTTTCTGTGGAAAGGCTGGTTGAAGGCCTGTGCTTCACATCTTCACATAGCAGTGATTATAGAGATACTGATGTTAAATAAGGTCTTTACAGTCTAGTGGATAACAAAGCGATGTGTTGGCAGAAGTCTAAACTTACAATAACTTATAACACGTTGTAGCAGATGTACAAGTTGCCATAAACACATGTAAAGAGCAGTTTTTAGTGTGTCACTGTGAGTTGTCATAGCTGGTTTCAGTTCAGGACCGGTGACGTTCAAAGTTTTCACATAAACACCAAAACAAGCGGATAAAACTTTTACACCGCGATATCGACCCAGAAAGATCTCCTTCAAACACCAAACCTTCACCACTCAACTGTCGTCCTCTCTCTTGGAAAACTTAAACAACAAACAAAAGAAGAATAAGAAGAAACAAATGTACCGGTAGCTAAGGCTAACTGTAATTAGCCGACGGGCTATTGTGACATAACGGGGGAGCTAACGTTAGCAACGTGCTGGCTAACTCCGCTAGCATTGGTAGCTGACAGCGGGGCCGTAAAAGGCTCACAGTGTGAAAGGACGCCTCTGAACAACTCTCTACGTTTGAACTAGACGTGAGAGTTGAGCCATGTGCCGTACGACAATCGTACCTCTGTGTTAGCATTGGGAATCAGGCAGCTAACGCTACAATGGAGCTGATTAGCAAAGCGGAACGATAGCTAGCTAGCTAGCACGCTCGTCACCCAGTGTGAACTGTGGACATGCGGGCTGAATGTGGGCAAAGTGTCAGGTAACATCAAATTACGAGCCGCTAGTCAGACCCACGGTGGCCGACATGTGACCGGCCTCGGATAAAAGCGGTGTTCACTCAGTTATAAGGCTGCTGTGTGCCGGCGGTCTCGACCAGAAGAGGCTGAGCAGCAGCACCGTGTTGAAGGATACTCTTTGTTCCTGAAGGCCTCGTTGGTGTGCTCGATGATGTAGACCTCCTCTCCCGGGCCTGGTGGCTCGGCTAGCGGCTTAGCCAGTGGGTACGGTTTCCGGCCTAACAGCGGGGCCATCTCAAATCCACAGACGGCACGGGACGCCCACGCTCAGATTCAACCTTCTGGCGACAAACTAGAACAATAATAAACAATAGTCTGTCCTTAGCATGTATCCAAGAGTCCCGGAATATCTGAGCACGTCTCACGTTACCGCCGGCAGGCCCGGCTCTCAACGTGTAGCAGCTAGCTGGCTAGCTAGCAGGCTGGATCGCTATCTGGTTGCAAAACAATAACAGAGCGCTTCTTGCCGCCCGCTTCATCGCATCCTCCTCCTCTCCTCTTGTAGCGGCCTCATGCTGCTTGTACGCAATCCCTTGGGTGTAGAACAGGTTGCCGGACTCGTCTCTCGGTATAGTTGGGAAACTTTTACCTCCTCCAGATGAACATGAAAGGACGCGAACCACACCGAAATCAAACTCGCGGCAAACAGCCAAAGCTCAGTTCAGCGGGAGGTCTGGCGCGCTGTTACAGTCACAAGTCTTTGCAAACTAGGCCTGTTCTCGTTTGATCAGCTGTATTCGCGGCATGTTCGTACTGTCGGAGCTTCTCGTTATCAGATAAGAGCGTTAGGAAGTGTTACGGGGGGAAAAAGTAACCTGGATCAATCAAGAGGTTAATTCCTTGTCGAAATGGCGGGAGATTCTAGTCCACCGGCACAATTCTGTACGCCGTCACTACTCCGTTTCCCCGGCAGCAAGCGGCGTCGCATGCAAGTCCCGCCCTCTCTCTGCGTTCATTGGCTCCCTCGGTGAAGCGCCCTCGTCGAATCCGTCTGATACGGCCTCTGATTGGCTGATACGTCGTGTCCATTGTCCGTGCAGAACTGCCCCTTCGAACAAACCACGCCCGTACAGAATATAAAGTGGAGGCTAGAGGTCAGCTGATGACAATAAGATTATATTATCGATTTAGATTATTAATGTACTCACTTCAACATTTTGATTATGTATCTGTAGAAAACTGATGATGACTCGATCCTCTTTGAATTATCTAATTAATTATTGAACCCATTGTCTGGGCTCCATTTTGAGCAGGTCTGATTAAACAAAAGGCCCTGCCTTCATTATATAGTAGAGTAATTGTCACATTATGGTGAATAAATACAAACCTTGCAGCACTGATGGATTGAAATAGAAAGTAGCATTTATTATGGTTTACAACGGCTTCAGTTATAAACATGGGCAAATTATATTATAAATATTTAAAAAAGCATTTTATTCTTACATGTGATAAGCCGAAAAAGAAGATCTGTTCCAGAAAGGTCATTGTATTTAAAACAAAATGGCACATTTAAACATCAAGCAACGCTACGCATTCAACACCTTTTCAAAATGGCCTGTGAACCTAAAAAATAAAGCAATACCGTATGGAAACATGCTAAAGTAAAATTGAACTGCATAAAGACTGAATATGAAATAGTTAGTTGCCATAAAGCTAAACATTTACAGCATGTGAATCGAAATACGCACCGCCTGCAACAGCAGTGACTTGTCACACAATGTTTGGAAAATCCTCTCCATTCATTTCAGAAATCACTTAAAACAGCAACACTTTAAAGACCTTTAGAAGTGAACAAAGATTTTGCAGTAAATATTTTTTTTTGTAATTTGCTGAAATGTAATATTTGCGTAAATATGTCAAGAGAACCTCAGAATAAATTTGAAAGCTAAGCTAATCATACTGAGAACAGGTATCGTGTGTGTTTGAACAAAATCATTATAAATAAGCTATCTCAGAACGACATTTTCTCCTGTGCAAATCTTCTTCAAAGGAGGCGCTCCTGATTCATCCAATTCCTCCTGTAGATTAAAAAGAAATAGATTAAATAGGTTACTTTAATTTGAGAAACTAGAAAAAATTATAGTATAATTAACACCAGTTTTACACAATGGAACAGATTGATTAAATACAAATTTAATTCCTATTTAATCAAGGAAAACGTTTGGTTTTCAGAGAGTGAACCTGTGTGTCTGGGGTACTCCGTCTGACGGTTCCTGATGAAAGAAGGTCCTCCTTGATGAGAGTCGGGGGCTCATCAGCCCCCTCCTGTCCTGAATGAACTGGCTCTGCATCCACATGGAAGAGAGGAATTATATCCTCGTTAATGCAGCTTTGACAGAGACAGTACAGCACACAACTGAGATGTCATAGAGATGTGCAGTCTTGGGGAGTAACAGATTACACGAGTTACGTAATCAGGATACAAAAAGATTAAACCCATTACAGTTGCACAATAAAAGTCGTAATCAGATTACAGTAGGATTATTAAACATTTTAAAATATAAGAGGACACATTTTAATGTAAAATATCTTGGTAATCTTCCTAAGGTTACATTGTTCTGTTATCTTATAGAATAAACACATCAGTACCTCTTCTTGATATTTCTTTGCTCTTGTCTTTATTTGCATATTTGAGTTCATCCAAAAGTAACAGAAAGTATCATGTTACACTAGTTTAATACTGTGTTACTGTGGTTACGTTACTGACTGTATTTAGTAATTGTATCAGATTACATTTTTAAATAACCCTCCCAACCCTGGTGATATGTAAATGTATTTCTTATTGTTTATATTTGTTACCAATCATCAGAGAATTGAAGGTTAAACACCTTATTAGGACACAAGTCCCATAAATCCTCATAATAATCCGCGTTGGGCCAGTTGATTATTAGAGCCGAGGTTCCTTGTCATTTAGCTTAAGCATCGATACAACACCGTATCTATTGTGTGTGGAATAATGTGCAACATACCATCCACACTCTCCTGGCCCAGCATTGGGGGCTGAGAGTCTTCAGTTCGGAGGCTGGAGGTATGCGGAGGGCTGACCTGCTGGGAGCTGGAGGTGCTGCTGCTGTTATCCATTTTAGGCTGGTAAACGTCCGACAGAAAGCTCTGGTTGCTGTTTTCATCTAGTGGCAGAGAGCACAGGAGTTGTACTGAACACCAGGCGAATGATTTGACTCTCACATTGTGTGGTTGTGTGATATTCTGTCATATTGGCAGTGGATTGAAGACTCACCAGTGAAATCCAGTAAAGAGTTGGTATTTTCCAGGACCACATCTTTCAGTCCTCTAACATCTCCACCTGTGGATTTGGTGCGATATATCTGACAACAAAGAGAGGGATTGTCAGATTAGACTCCTTATCCATAAGCTGCATTCATTCAAATGCACCCATGACAGTAATAATACATTTATACATGGCAGAGGACCCTACCTGCTTTGTTTCTGTCACTGGCACCCACTTGAATATGCGTAGGGATGTGTCTCCAACTGTCACCCATTTCTTCTCCCTGGGGATGAAATTAGTTTGTCTCATTATCGAGAGGAGCTCCCGCTCACACCATCTGCTTTAATACCATTAATCTGTAACATGACATACATACTACATGCTCGTGTCTGTCCACAGCAGGGAGGGCAGCTAATCAAATATCATATCATGCTCACTGATAAGCCGTCGTTTACTTTTACAGGAGCATGTACAACACATGTTAATATATATGTATATATGTTTATATATAAATGATGAGAACAGGGTGGGAATATGTTGATTAATTTCACTGTGATGTGACAACAGGACAGTCGTCTTCATTACGGCGCTCAGCATGTGAGGCTGTAGCCATATTGACAGCTCTCGGCGGAAAAAAACTCAGCTAGCCCCGCCTCTCCTGTCAACCCGGGGCGTTGATTGGTCCGCAGCTCCGTCAATCATCTAACTTTTCCGACTGAAGTTTGTTGAGCGACGCAGCACATATCAGGCTACAGTCTACTAATACATTTCCCTCCATATTGTGCCTCGGACAGCCTACTTACCATTTGCGCACTTTCTCGATGGCCGCCAGCACCTTTTTAATGTCATCTTTAGCCCGACTTCGTGTCTCAGCGCGGCCTGATCGTCCCGACATCTTGATGCTGTTATGATTCATCTACAGATGCATCTGAAAACTTCAAGACCAAGCCCCAGTCCTCCGTTACAGTGGTAATCTCGCGAGATTTCATGGTCTCAGTGGGTTTTTTTTTTTTTTTTTCCCAGCGCCTTCATCCTCCTCAGTACTGTATGTACTGTAAAGGAAGGGTGGACACATTGGGTGTTATTTATTTATTTATCCATCAGATACTGTGGCAGTAGCTCATACTCAAGTACTGTATTATTTTATTTTATTATTCTTCTTTTACTTTTACTTTCATTTTGTGCTATTTTATTTCTCTCCAGATTAAGATTGTACACAAACTACACAACAATTGTTACAATGATATTCTTAGTCCTCAGGCTGCCTCCAACAGTGCTCATTTAAATATGTATAAAAAGAAAATCATCATATAAGTAAAATTATAATCTAAGACATGGGGCGCCCTGGTAGCTCACCTGGTAGAGCTGGCTGATAACCTGTGACATACAGGGCGTCCTCCCCTCCCTCTCTCCCCCTTTCCTCTCAATCTTCAGCTGTTCAGTGTTATAAAAGCAAAAAAGATACATATAAAAAGTACCCAAGACATAAAATAGTGCAGAATTTATAACACAATATGATGTTTAAAATAAAATATGATACAGCAGTAAACAGGTGTACAGTAGCCTAGTGGTAAAAGATATAAACTGTAATGTTATACATTTATAAATGTAATGAGAACAGGTTGTAGACATAGCCTAAATATATATATACTGTGATTGATAAACAGCTTGTTAACAAACAGTAAAATACACATATTTCTATACATACATATGTATATATACTATAAACAGTACTACATTTATATATAAAGAAATATAAACATGGTAATTAAGCAGGTGCAGGTATAAGTCAGTGCAGTATAATATGTACAGTAGTAAATTTGGTATAAGTATGACAGGTATTATATTGCATTGATAAAGTTAAATCCAGCGGTTTCCACCCTTTTTGACCCTCTGCAAAAGAAACAATATCTGGTTGGGGCCCCTTGTCCCATTTCAGATGTCTGTTGTTAGCAGTTCAAAGAATGATTTTGCTTCAGATGGTTTTTATTAAGGTAATTGTTAGAGGCCCAAAGAGGTAACACACCAGTATTTCACAAAAAGCAAATATTAGAGAATGTTTTAAGAAATGAGCACAGATTTGAGTTTATTCTTCTTTCCTCTCCTTTTACCCATCTGATGATCTATCTTGTGACTCTCTGGAGGGTGCTGACTCACTGGTTGGTTGGTTAGTACTTTGATATTTTAAGTACATTTAGCTGATGATACTTCTTCACTTTTGTGAAGAAGTGGGATTTCAATGCAGGATATTTACTTCAAATTGACTTTTTTTGTGCTATTGGTGCTTTTAGTTGAGGACTTGAGTAATTCTTCTTCCGTCTATTTATCTGTTTGATTGTGATTTATATTTCTGTGCCACTGAAATAAAAACTTGTAGCTGTTCTTCCTGCCTTTCTGTCTATTGTTTTCTATTTTTGTGAATTTAAAAAACTTAATTTGCTCTTTCCACTGTAGATCAAAGCTTGGTTAAATGTGCACTACTCTTGTGTTGTGGTTACCATGTTTGACCAACAGAGGGTAGCCTTGAGTCATGCAAACCAAAAAGATGCTGTTCCTATGTTAAAGACTGAGAGCAAAGGTTGAGTCTGTTGCAATTTTGATTCATTAATTATAGTAATGATCACTGACAGGTGATTATGCTTCACTCTCCTATATCCTCCAGGGAATAGAATAGCAGAATCAGCTCTCTGTAACCAGCTATTACCAACCAAATTCACATTGTGCTTTACAACGGTGTAGCTCCAGGGAAAACCCTGTATAAAATATTGTGTGGTGACATAAAGAGGATCAAAGAAGAGGTATTATAAGCACTCCCACTTAGCAATCAATATTTGATGACATACAGTGTCACTGATCAGACGGTGCTGACAGCATTCAGTGTCAGTCTATTGATACTTGGACAAGTGGAGCTGGCACTGATCGTGACACCATGAGGGGAACTCATTGTTCATTTCCTGCACAGCTTATGGGCTAAAGTAGCTGCTGTATTATCAGTGGAAAGAGATTTTTGACTAACTGGTAAAATGTGATGTTGTGCATAATATATTATAATGTATTCAAACTTCTAAGGGTTTCTGTTGATTGTGTGTCATTGTTTGTTGAATAGATTTGAGCCTTTTCCACACAAAAAGGCAGTTATTGTGATGTTTACCGTTAAATGATTGCTGCCTACACTAACAAGCATCATTTCAACAACAATAATAAAGTCAATATGTGTTTTTGTCTTAATTTACTCCTGAAATATCCCACACAGCAACGGCTTTAGTAATTGTTGAAGCATTGTGTGAATTATGTCTCAGACTGAATATTGTGCTTCGTGTTGTGGTAAAGACTTATATGTGTGTTTGATAAGACTGCTGATATATTATTTTACACAACCAAATTAAAATCTCAACACGGTAGTGATGCTGTGGGCGGGTCCAGCTGGAGCTCCAGCCAGTAGCTGACAACAGTGGGAGGAGTCAGTGACAGTTGCCAGAGAAAATATCCAAATAACAGCGACGCATCTGATCGATATCGTCACAACAACAACAACAACAACAACAACAACAGCAGCAGAAGAAGCTCGACCACATTTCTCTGAGACATTGTGCGTAAAGGCTGCTCACAGTGGTCGGGGGGTTGTGCAGCTCGCTTCATAAAGACAGAGATTGACTTCTGTAAAGTTTCCGCAATTTGTTGCACAAAGCACTTCTGGTGTTTGTGGATGTCCTCGTTCAGATAAGAGTTGAACAACAGACCTGTGAAATAGAAAATAAATAACAATAATCTGTCCTATTTATTATGTATGTGCATTTACCCAAGTACTGTACTTACCGTACTTATACGTTACTTTTATTATTTCCATTTTATGCTACATATTTCTACTCGATTGCATTTCTGTAGTTAATATTATACTTTTTACTTTACTACATTTATCTGACAGCTGCAGGTAGTTACTTTGCAGATTCAGATTTTTAATATAAGAAATGATCAACTAGTTAATATTATTAAAGCATTATTATACATTAAGCAGCTGTGGTTAAAATAATCCCCACATTTACCAGCTATAACAGTAATGATGCTCAGTGATAAATATTTATGATCCAATAATATAGCTACATTATGCTGACATTATGGACCATTCTTCATAATATGTACTTTTACTTTTGGCAGCCTATTTTAAGTGTATTTTTATGTATTTTCAAGGTAGTACTTTTGTAGCTCTCTTTTTACTTTTACATTTTTTAATGCATTTTTACTTGTAACAAAGTATTTCTAGATTAAAGTAAACTTTAGTGTCATTCTACACTTTATTATTATTAGTTATACTTAAGTATAAGATCTGAGTACTTCTTCCACCACTGCACACAGCACTGGAAGTACAAAGAGTTTCCATTCAAGGCTCAAGTTGAATCTAATTAACAAACAGTTTTTAATTAAAGAGCGCGTTAACCGATAGGCGCTTTATTTTGAAAAGCGGAAGTGATATCCTCCTCTGCCTCGCTTTACTCTGGTGCCGTTCAGGCTGCTCCTGTCATTGACTGGGGTGGTGGACAGAAAGGCCAAATGATCCAGTGAAACGGGGCGACGAGTCCAGCACAGCATGGACGGCTGCCCGCCATAGTTAGTGCAGCTTTTATTTTTTTATTCTATTTTTTTACAGTCTCGCCTTTTTATCCGCTGAAAGTTTATCTTCTTTTTTTCTTTGTTTTTTCGCTGCTGTGAAAAAACAGACGACAATGGATCGAGTGAAAAGCTCCATGCAGCAAGTACCCAACGCTATCCCCAAAGTGATCCGACGGACTGGAGGGGCCAACAGCCTGGAGCTGGAGAAGGAAAACTTTGAGAGAGGGCAGGTATGGAGCTGGGGGGGGGGTCGGAGGGTCACATTAATGTAATAATAGCCTATTAACATTATTTGGCTGAAAGCGTGGGATTGAAGGTCCTGGCTGGGAGCCACTTTATAAGGTGGGAGGATAATATTCATGCCTGGATGTTTTCTGTCAGCTGTAAAGTATGCATTGGGGGATTTTAAAGTGAGCTCAGGTTCTATTACAAATGGCACACAAAAAACACATTTCTGTGTTTTTTTACTGCAAATTTTAATAATTAAATCTTATTTATTCACTTACACTGTGTCTGTACAGTAGTTGATCTAGATTACTTCCCCTGCTGTCCGCCTGTGATCAGCAGAGATAGCAATGAGTCCACTGTGCAACAATAGAGCTGTTCAAATGTAGGTCAGTGGTCTTTTGAATTCAGATAATGTGCTGTTTATCTGTAGGATAAAACCAGACAAGAGGGGAGTCCTGTATGGCAGGCTGTCAGTGCCTCCTGTAGGCCCTCAGTCAGGGCAGGATCACTGATGATGAGGAGGAGGATGATGATGGTGAAGAGATCTAAAGTGAGACCCGCCTGTTTGAAGTCAAAGGAGATATTGTTTTGTTTAGTTTTGTGGCTGCTGGTGAATAATGAATGCTGTGTAGCTCCAAGAGCTGCATGTGACTTTGCATGAAGTGCTCTCCTAGTGAGCATATGTATATAGGCTGCTGTTTTGCTGTGGAGTCTGCCGCTTCCTGCCTGGTGGTCTCCCCTCCCCTCTCTCCCAGACCCAGGCACAGGGGAGGAAGGGGGGGGAGAAAGTAGGTCAGATGAATCAAGGCAGCCAAACTGCCGTGGTAGTGCTGCAACGTGCTTCTCCCATTTACAGGGGCTGCTAAATTGGACAGTACAGTCAACACAGGCTAAATGTGCACAGCAGGTATTTGGCGAATTCTGCGTCTGGATGGTCTCATACAGTTTGCCCCCACCCCCCACCCCCCCATGCCTCACCCATTCGGGACAGAGGATCAGAGGCTGGGAATTCATCTGAGCAAAGCCTGGTCAGTAGGTCACTGTCAGGCTCCTGAGATCACACCCTCTGGAAGTGTGTCAACGCAAAATGGGCTTCAGCCTCACATCACAATGCGTGCACACAGTTCCTCTCCGTGCCTTGTCAACGCGTGGAGTTCTGATAATGTGTCGTGGTAGTAAAAAGAAACGTGTCTGAATGGATTTTGCTTGGTTTATCTGCCTTTTATTAAAGGTCTCAATCATCTGCGATCAGGTAAACAAAGCAAAGGGTTTGCAGCTGATGAGCAGTGAAAATGCTCATGCAGGTTAAAACAAGCCTACATTTGATTTGCTATTAGTTATCAGTGTTCCAACACGTCTAGACTGAAGCACGACACATTCAGCTGTTTTGTTCTTAATGCACAGTTTCTCCTGATTTCTTTCATAATGTATTTACGCCTGAGTTTTTACAGGTTTTAATTCACAGATTAGGATTTGTTACCCCTGAAGTTTTGCTGTTTGTGTGTCCTGTGGTTGATTTTTGACTGGGGATCCAGAGCTGTGGCAGGCGGTGCAGGAATCAATGAATCTGCTGTCTACTTTACAAGGGATCAGCCAGAGATAATCTCATCTGATCTGTTGTGCTCTAAAGCTGCCTAAATCTGCTGGGTAGCTGGCTTTCACCTCCTGTTGTCTGCCTGTCTGTCTTAGATTTTTCAATTTCCAATCATCTCTCCTTTTAGTCATTAAGTGCACTTGGTGAAAGCTTAATGTTTAGACTAATAAATGTGTTGTTGATGAAGCTCTTCCATATTATTGCCCCATAAGTGTGTTGCTGTGTGAGTGTGTGAACTTTTGTGTAACCATTTGCGATGAGTGCAGAGACATATGTCGTGAAACGGCAGTACAAAGAGTGCATAGTCGATTCAGCCTGAATTCAATACAGCTACATGTGAACATGAGCAGTGAGCACTGTACAACAGGGTCGCCTACCTTAAAGCCATAGTTGTGTAAAAGGCTGATTCTGAGAAGTGCTCTCTATCTCTCTGTTGAGTTGGGTAAACAACCAGGGTGTGTTCAAAATCCTCTCTGTCGTAGTGTCCACACTGGGTTATAAAAAGAACGAAACAGGGCAGCCAGATAGCGCACAGCGCTTGCTTTTTAATGACATGTTTGGCCTCATAATAGCAGCTGACTCTTTCATTTAGAGTTTAAGGAGGATTTAATCTTTGGTCTGTTTGTCTCAAACGTCATTGCATGTTTTGGTTTCCGTGTTCTCCCGTTTTCTCACGAAATGAAAAAAAAACCCCAACGAGTAAATAACAAGTTAGTTCTGAACACTGCATATTTTATAACCTTTATCTGAAGGCTCAAGAATGTCAGAGATGCCAACTCTCTCCTAGATTGCAAAACAGTCTCCCGAGCTGTCAGAGGCCAGAAGAGGTTTTTCATTTAAAAGCTGGTGTAGGTAGTAATCTCTGGACCAATACGAAACCATAATTAGTGCTTGTGGAAAACTTCTGGGGCACCAGTTCCTCAGCTGGGACATGCAGTGTGACACCACATTGTATGTTACATAATTAAGGTCTTAAAATTAGACTGCCTGCCAGCATCATCCACCTCCTTTACTCATGCACACGGAGGTCACTCCTATTTGTATCTGTTTTTGATACAAATAGGCTGTTTGCATGACAGTTTTTCACAACTTATTGTCAAAGTTATGGTCGATTTGGTCAAGTTTGCATTTGTTCTTCTACCTGGAGCGGCAGAAGCTCGACTTTTCAACCATTTATCCATTACTTTTAGCTATTTCCCCTTTTAGCTAACTATATCTATTCATTTTTCATTCATCCATTACTTTAAGGTCTCTTTTTCGACCATTTTATCAAATTAGTTGAGTTACTACTCTCTTCCCACATACCCCCTGGCAACTGCAGAAGCACCCTCTGTACAGTACAAGTACCCCTGGTTGGGAATCCCTGTTGTACAGTATTTGTGGCTCCCCTGGTCTGCAGCCCTCTTTTAGTGCTGTTTGTGCCCTGGCAGCTGTGGAATTCAGTGGAGGAGTGGGGGCCGTGGCCCTTGGGCACCAGCAGGACTCAGCAGGGCAGACATAGACAAGAATTTTTTAATCACCCCGTCTCTGCCTCTCTTTTCCCTCCGTCTTTTGTCTTTCTTTTTGTCTCGTTGTTTTCCCCCTCCGTTGCTCATTGTGTCGAGTCTCCCTTTGCTTCTTTTACATCCTGCAATTCAAAATGCAGGGAAGTTATGGAAGGACATCCGCATACATGCAGTACACACACAGACAAGCATGCAAGCATGAAAGCGAGACCATTAAAAGCACTGAGGCAGCAGAAACAGCAGGCGGTGGTTTGTGGCCTCATTGCACTGACTGGCTGTAGAATAATAGAGCTGGACATGAGTGACAGGTCTGTAAGTGGAACAAAGTGCACCGATGAGTTCCTGGCGGCATTAACAATGGCTTTGATTTACAGATTGTTTTGGAGTTCTCTTCTGTGTTTTACAGCACAGTAAAGCGGAAAGGGAGAGAGACAGAGATGGAGTGTTGCTTTTTGTTTCACATGCAGCGAGGTCAGAAGTCAGGCTGAAACCTGCATCATGGGTGTAAGCGTGTGGTATGCAAATGAGCCTGCTTCAATGTGAGTGGCCTCATTTTAAATAATCATACAAATACAATATGGTCCTCAGCTACAGAATGCATATGGTTGAAATAAATATCAATATGGATAGTTTCTGATATAAGTGATTAAACTGATGTTTAACGCAATAAACTTTCTTACTGTTCTACGTTACATCAGACAAAACTCAATTTCTGAAAAACAAAACTTTATTCTAATGACTTGTTTAGAATAACAAATGTTCAGGAGCCGAGGTTTGCAAAATGATCAAATCAGGTTATGACTCCACTAAAAGTTCATAAACAATAATATTGTGTTATTGCCCAGCCCTCATACTGAACACGCCAACTCACATGGGTTGTTGTTAATTTATACAACTCGTCAAAATGAAAGGGAAAGCTTGTTATGGCTAAAATAAGCACAAAGGACCAGGGACGCTGGAAGTCAGTCACAGTCTGAGGCGCTGAGAGAAAGTCTGCATATATAATGACATCATACTAAATGCTAAATGCATGAAGTACGTGGTTATTACATTAATTTGAAGGGGCAGAATGATTTATAGCATATTGACAACATTTTACAAAAGTCTTATAACTTTCTAGTGGATAAAACTGATACAAAACAAGGCAAAACCTCTTTCCTGCCCAAATATCAGTGTGTGTATATATGTAAATCCCAGTGAAAAAGGAGAAAGTTTAAACATTTTAATTAAATAATGGTTCCTTATGCCAGATTGCTCAGCACCCAGCTCCCATTCAAAGGACACAAGCAGGATTTTACTTTCGATTAGCTGGTAGTCTGATAGATGTCTTGGCCTAAATGTTCTCTGCAAACCTGCTTTAATGAAGCAGAGCACCTGATCTGTTTTCATTTTTTGCATTTTGAGACACAAACACAACACATCATAACCTCAGACTCAGCCCCCTCGTGAGCGAGGGCAAGAGATCTCTACGCAAGAGGACTTTAACCCCCTTTGCAGTTTAAACCTGATTACTCAACAGAAATGATTCAAAGTACATTAATGTGGATCACCTAATAGTTATACCTGGTAAAAGTATAACTTATGGTACAAAGGTTGTCAGCTGAAAACCTCATAGCTGCAGTGAATCTTTATTTCTACAGTTAGGAGTCCGTTTAACATTAAGACTCATTCGTATTTTTGTTTTTATAACAGATTTTTTAGGTATTGATTGACTTAAAACTTTAGCAGGACTTAAAGACTTAATGAAGCGTAAGAAAACCTTTAAACATAAAGAAGCGTTTAGTGTGTCTGATGACACCATTACATGAAGAAGTTTGTGATGTTTGATAAGTTAACTTTCCTCTCCAGCACTAAATAGGAGCTGGAACTTCATCTCTTCAACACTGTAAATCTGTAATACTTG